GGAGATCGCTTTTTGGGAACTTGTCACAAGGCCAGACAGAACTCGTTTGAAAAAAGTGCCATTTTTCAGTAACGTGTTATAAACACTATTTTGCCGAGTACTTTAGTAATCAATAGAATTAGGCTTCCTGTAATCCAAATAGGAAAAGATATATTTACATCACCTAGTGGATCATAGTCATCGACAATTCTCGGATCCGAACAGTCGGTAAGATTCCGAGACAGTTTACCGCCCGCTTGGTTGAAAACTAAGATAACCTTTTCAAAGTGGAGGCACCAAGGGGCAAGGCTTCTTACAATCCATTTGAAATATAACCTCTTTTTTAAAAAGTCAAGGGTTACAGGAATCGTTTTCATATTTGTCTTTGGCAGTGATTTCATTTCGCCCGGGCCTGGATTAGGCAGGTACTTTACGGGAAAAATGCTCATCTGCACAAGTCAGTTGATTAATTTCATTACCTGGAACAGTGAAACTTCTAGAGTGCAATCGAACCCCTTGTGAGGATCTTTTCTAATTCGGACAAACAGCATTTCCAATTCTCATATCCAGTTGTGTTTTCTACCGAGTATTGGTTGTCAAAACAGAGCATCCTTTGGGCTCTAATTTGCAAAAGAGAGTCAGTCATATGCGTGCATTCTACGAAGCATCATACAAACATTATTCTGTACTGCATTCTGCTTCTGCCGGTGCCATGGAGGCAAACAATTCCTGGTGGATATAGTTGCTGTTAGTAATCTAACGCTCCAGCACGTCAGCTTTCAAAACAGAAATCGACCCCAAGAACCCTTCCCCAACCCTAAAAATTCATTCGTTCACATGAGTGCAGTTGCTTTCGATTGAGATAGAAAATCGCTTCTAGCGAGGTACTTACACTGCTGATCAGCCGGTCGTGGCCGACAGGTTAGGATTTCAAACCTGAGCCGAGAAATTGTGGGTTTGAGACTCTCTGGAGTGTCGTGAGATACGCAGTGCTGCTGATTCGCATTAAGAATTGAACATCTGTAAAATGGTTCTTGGCTCATAGTAATAGGAAGACTGTGAGCAAATACTAGTGGTCGAATGACTAGCTGAGCTCAGTAACTTTGTCAAGCGGTCTGACCTACCAACATTCTTATCCGAACACCTGCTCGAATCTTCTTGAATTTTTGAGAGGTGCGTGCTGCTGGTCCATAATAAGGACAAAACAGTTGTACAGTGATTCCCGGCTTTTTAGCATAGATTAACTTCACTTTTAGGATGAAATCTGTACCTCGAAGTTGATTCTGTTTACAGCAAGTCTCAGTTGTAATGAATCTCGTAGTTCCGAGGTTCCCTAAATGCAGCTTCAATAGCCTATACCGGGATTCCAAATCTTACTAGTTGCAGTGTAAAGTGAGCTCATACAAAGATTATTCTAGAGCTGGTCTATCGAGATAAAATATGTTTGAATTTGAACATCTTGTCTACTCATCCGAGGTACAGTCCGATTAGGTGGTTGGAATAAAGGTCACCTTTTTATTGTTGGAGTTAAGGAATTGATTATTTACCTAGACCGTCCATAAGCTTCGCTACAAGGTTTTTCCATGGCTAAGGCACAATAAAAAACAAAGTTTTTGATTTAAACCACAGTTGATACTTTTTTTAGCTTCTATTTAGCCGCATACTAACTAAGATTCCTCGATAGTTATTGCCTTCAAAACCCCTTGTTGAATTTGGAGTGGTATCACCAATTACTAGCTGTTAACGGATGAGAGACGTCACGTGGCTAGTGTGGGTAAAATTCCTCTTTCCCTCGACAAATAACCCAGACGGTCATTATTTCTTGCAGAATGACTCACTGGGATGCTCCCACAGAGAAGAAGGATCTCAGCGTTTTAGTCAGTTTCCTTGA